CTCGCCTCGTCGCGTCGCGTCTCCTGGCACCGCCAGCGCGTCGTCGACACGCCGCTCTCGCTCCGCTTCTGTGTATTGTACGTTCATTCGCGCAAGCGAGAGATGGGTGTGCCGTGAGAGGAAGCTCTTTCTACCCCCGTCGGGGCCGGGTGCGTGTTGACACAACGTTCAGCCGAGAATCCACACACACCCCCCACCCTTTTACGCGAGGTCACACACGCCGTGTCGGCCTTCGGAGATAATCAATCGACGTAGGCGAATTGAAAAAAAAAAAAAAAAAAAACAGACCAAAAAAACCTCAATCGTCGATCCACTCACCTCGCGCTCGAATCTGGCCACTCGACGCTACGATGACATGCCAGTGCGCGTTCGCCGTTCGATCTTGGCCGTCTAAGCGTGTCGAGTTTCACGGCGATCTTCCACCGGGAAAGCGGCTGGGCGAGAGAGAGACGGACGATGAAAGAAGCAAAGCGGTACCAGAAGAGGGAGTTGGCGGGTCTCTCTCTCTCTCTCTCTTGCGCGCACACAAAACACGGACGCGCCGATGACACACCGACGCGCCGAGCAGACGAGGAGGATTAAATCACGCGCTCGTTTCTCGACGCCGACAGCCAATGTCGCGATTTAACAACGACCTGTTTTTCAGACCTGTCACGACGACGACGACCCGTCGTGCCGTCGTTTCCTCCGCTTTGCCCGCCGGCTACGCCCAACAACGCGCGTCGATCGCCGCTCCGTTGCGGACGTGATGCGCGCGATGCATCGCAACGACAACCCGAGTGACGCGAGCGACGACGACGACGACGAAAACAAAAATATCGAGAGATTTAGACGACGCGCACACCCGGCACACACGCGTGTGCACGCGCGCACTCGCGACGGGCACACAGAAGACACGCAGTTGAAACGATATAACGCGAGAAACGTTATCGTTACCGCGAAGCGACGACAGGGCCTCTCGTCAAATCCCGTCGCCTCGAACGTTGTTGTTCAACTCGCAGGCACGTCGCATTGAGCACTGACTCGGCACCGCGTTCCTGCCAACGTGACGAACCGCGAATTCCCAGGACCGTAGCTTTACAACAAATCGCGAGCGATCGCTCGCCCTCTTCTCATCTCGAAATCAATCGCAAAACGATTGTATCGAATTTTCGACAATAGATCGCGATTTAAACTTCGTCGTTGATTCGGCGGCGTGTTTTACGAACGTCTGAGGGGAATTTAATATTAATTTAATCTAAAAATGTGTGTGTGGTTTTTTGTTATGTAAAAATCTTGACTCGCGCGCGTTTTATAGCGTTCGAAGACGTCTCACACGTCCACGCAATGAGAATTTTACAACTCGCGCATAAATAGCTCCGAGTGATTCATTGGCTCTCGTCTTGGAAAAAAGATAAAGAAACGCACTCTCTCATCTCTTCTTTAGCGTTAAATGTTTGACTCAATTTGAGTGTGTGCAACGTTTACACGCTCGTTAACGATCGCGCGTCATTGTTAGATAACGACGGAGAGATACGACAAATGACATTCGGTCGAAATCTGTGAGAATCTCTTACAATTTTTTTTTTTTAGTATTTTCATATTTCGAATAATTCTAATAATTTACTTCGCGTTATTTGCCGCGTGTAACTTTATCAAAGAAATTAAATGCAGATTTACAAACAGAATGAAAAGATCCGATATCTATCTGTTTAAATCACGAGTTTTAAATTGCCACGTTCGTCGAAACTTTATCTCTCTTCTCGCAAGAAGCGCAATTTTACGACTGTTACATCACGGTAATCATCGCGCGTCTTATACTAATTGGTTGACGGTATAATTCGTCTCATTACGTCCGCGCGGCCGTTGTTCGGCGCGAAGACACGTCGATCGGTTGATCGAACGAGAGGTGAGAAATCCGTGCACGTATTTATTTATTATTGTTTCCACAGCGCAAAAGTTGTCACAACAAAAGTATCTCGTTATAAAACATGGAGATTAGATAAGAAAAAAAAAAGCTAATAACGAAAAGAGATAAAAGATCTAATATAACGTGTTACCGTGTGACATTCGACTCGAGTGTGTAATCGCGTCGAAGTTTGCTTATCTGATAAAAACGTCGCGCTGTATTCTTGATTTTACATTGTTGGATTTTTGACTGTTGGAAGATTCGAAAAGAGCGCGATTTGGTCTTTGCTTGCGTGTTTTTTCTCACCTTCAACGATCACGAGGGGACAATTTTCGCTAAATTTTCGAGATAAAGTTGAAAAACCGAGGATCGACGATCGCGTAGCTTCGCGCCTGAGTGATGAACAAACGTCGGTGTTAATTTTTCACGCTCTGGGGTTGGCAACGGACGGCTGGCTGGCTGGCTGGCTGGCTGGCTGGTTCGAATGAGAAAGGTCGTACAACGGCCGCGAGTGCAGCTGCACCCGGCCATGGTGAAAAACGTGTATACGTACGAGGTGTTCGGATGTGTGTTGGTTGCCGCGCACTAATCTCTTTTCGAACGGGGGCCTTTGCTTTCTTCGCGGAACCGCTCAAGCTTCGCGCGACACATGCACGCGAGCGATTATGATCCTCAGTCCCTCAATGTGTAACGGGCGTATTGTTTATACTTGCAAATTGTATGCGCATATAAAAAAAAAAAAAAAAAAAAAAAAAAAANAAAAACAGTAACACAACGTCGCACAAGTCGCCGAGATTTGCGTCGTTTGTACGCGCAGAGGATCCTATGTCGCTGCTGTGATTCGGCGACAGCAACGACGTATATATATATATGTATATATACATTTTTTTTTCTTAACACTGTCATACGTCACACCGGGTGAGAGTGAAGGTCTCCCCTTCCGTGGGGAAACTCAGAATGTGTGTGCGTGTGCTACATTTTCCAAACACGCCAGTACCGCAACTGACTGACATTTCGTCCGCAAAGCGGGATGGAAAAATGTGCGCACGCCGCAATAGTGTGTGAACGTCAATTTCACGTCGAGATCTAAAACAAAATCTAAGATTTATTTTTCTCTCAATTCCAATCCTTGCCGCTCTTGCGGCCAGATGTTCGCTCTGAGAGCGCAAAATTCGCGATCTGTTTCAACCTGTTTTTAAACTGCCACCTGTCAATTGTGCTATGCGTAGGGAATGCACGGTCTTATATGTATACACACACACGTACGTCATTGAGCGACAAGCTGATGACGTGCCGCGTCGTCGCCCGACTATGACGTGCCAGGTTCGGACAGTCACGCATACCGACGGCGTTCGCTCTGTGTAATAAATATTATCGCGCCTGACATCATCTCGCACATTTAACGCTATTCGTAACAACGCATATACGGAGAAATTAACATCTTTCTGATCATCGTGAGAGTTCGCGGCACGATTCTCGCGCTGACTCATGCGTTTTGTGTGCCCACGTATACTCACGTGCCCGAACGCACTTTCGCTTATTTTAATTTTTGTTTGTTGCAATCTCTCTCTTGAGCGCGCAATTTCGCCGCTTCGAAGAAGTGTATCAAGATATTTTCCCTTTTTTTTTTTACGAGATTTATTTACGAGCAAGAGCCGTTCCGCGATTCCCATTGTATTGTATAATATTGTGAGAAAGGCCGCTAACTCCGCGCTATTAATTTCATATTCATCGCACCGTTCATCGCGTTTATTCGCTCTCAATTATCTTGTTAGCTATCTGGTTACGCGCTTTGCAACCAATTACGCTTTGTCGCGTACAAACACACGCCGCGCTATTGATGTATTCGCGCACGTAAAGAATTTATTGTTATCGGCACCGCGTTGCATCTCTCTCTCTTTCTCTCACACACGCGTTCACACTCCCCCTCCCCTCCCTCCGTGAATTTACGAAATACAATATTTATTTTCGGAGTTACGGCCCTGAATCTCGTGAAATTCGAATATCAGCAACTTCCTGGAATGTCCCACGCTTTCTACCCCGCAGCGAGATTCGTACGTACATGTGGAATGCGTTCGAAACAACGCCGCATAAGAATGGGAGCGTGTGTGCATTTTACTCGCGCTCGAGTTAATGTTGCACATACCGACGTTGGGAGAGAAGCAGCGGTTTAACGTATACGCGCGCGATTCTCGCGTATGTTTATTCGTGTATGCAACATGTCTTTATATATACATATAAAATCGATAATTAAGTTATATTGTATATATATGTATATAAAATTGATCGACCTATCTATTTTTCTATATAAAGATAATCTACATATTTAATTTAAATAATAATTTATAATATAAATATATATATTTATAATTTATATATATTTATATCATATATATATGTATGAACATATAGATAAATAGATAGACAGATACTTTCTCCTTTCCAGAAAGAGGATCGTCTTGAACATTTTTATTATTACAAATTATAATAACATTATATACCCGATAATTCTAATGTTTCCTTTTGCCGCTCTTCTGATTCTTCTGACCACGTTTCCTGTCATGTTTCTGACGTCTCTTTTCGAGCAGCTTGCGCGCTTTCAAAATTTGTTCCGGTCTCTTGAGCTCGTTCTTCGCTCTGAGCTTTTCCTTTAGTTTCTGATTGTGACGCGCCCAGCGTGTATTCGCCGTAGTTCGCACTGAAACATCACGGAATAAATCGATGTAAAGAGAATAGAAAAAGAAAAAACGTTTCAAAATCAAATATGAGAGAAGAAATATTTGTTTACAATTGATGTGACCTTAGAAACTTACAAGCTTGCATCTGTGGCGACTCCTCTTCGCTATCGTCCTCGTTATCCTCATTGATCTTATTTTTTTCCTTCCACGTGTTGTAACGATTTGTTTTGTACGTAGCGGGTATCCACACGCCTGATTCGGTACGTATTTTTTTCATCTTCGGTTCCTGCGCAAAACAAAATTTACATTCGTAGCAAACAAGTCCATCAATTTTAGTGTTTATCTAAATGTAGTAGATAAAAAGTATTAAAAAAAATTAAATCTATACAAACAAGTCCATCAATTTTAGTGTTTATCTAAATGTAGTAGATAAAAACTATTTAAAAAAATTAAATCTACGCACATTGTTGACGGTAATCATCTTCTTCTTTTTTCGATCCCATTTTTTTATTTGCATTTGAAGTTTCTGCTCCTCTTCGTTGTCTGCTGTCAAATCCAGCTGCGCCCTTTCGGCTTCTGTTGCGAATGTGTTAACCGCCAATCTAAAAAAAAGCAACAGAACACAAACAAATTGAGAAAGAAAAATAATTAAAATCTCAAAGTTTGACATCAGACGGCGATTCTTACCCATCTTCTGTGTGTTTGTCTGGTGCGGAATAAGGTATGTAATATTCCTCGTCCCGCTTTGTCTGACGTTGTTTTTTCTTGGAAAGTTTATATAAATCATCACTTTTTCTCTTTTTTGGAAGCACTACCGTGCTGAATGCAGCGTTGATCTCTTCCGCGTTGCTGGTTGGCAGATCAACTGTTCGTTTCGACGATTCTACGTACATAGATGAAAAAAAAATTCAACAAATGTTAGGTTAGGTTTGTCGCGTGTATGTAAAGTGACATATATTTTTTCTGTGTTGATAACAATCACCTGACGACGCACTGCTTTCAACCTTACGTTCTTGTACCTTCCTGTGGAAGTCGCGAATAATGTCTCTGTGAAACTTTCGTTTCTCTTTCATCATCTGATAATCCACTGAGTGTGTTTTTGTGCCGATCTCAAATATCGTCTGTTACACAGAGAACAGTCAAAATACAACAAATATTCGTGAAAATATCTAGTAAAGACTGTATCGTACTCACTCCCTGCGGCCTGTAATTTTTCATCTTCGCTATGACATCTTCAGCCGTATCGGAAACCTCGGAATATTCCGGAAGAACTCCAGCGTCGTGTATGTTAAACTCTTTGATTCTTTTGACGCTCTCCACAGAAGCGCCTGGTCGCGATTTGATGTACTTTTGGTAAGCGTTGTCGCACACTTTTCGCATATTTGTCTGAGAACATTTAAGAAATGATGCAAAAAAACTACAAGGTTCAACTCTTGTGACAAATAATGCATCGAATTAACTGAATTTTCGTCACTCACGAGATCCGTAGAGGTGTTGTGCCAATTTATCAGCTCCGTTATTTCCTCTTCTATCATGGACTGCGGCATCTTGCCGATAGCGGATTCCATGTTTTCACTGGAACCGGCACTCGGCACTACCTTCAACGGTCTGCCGAGGAAGAGATGTAAATCCAGAAGATACGGATATTCATCCGAGCTTACGATGTTGTACGCAGTTCCGGTGCGTCCAGCTCGAGCGCATCGTCCTGAAAAATGAAATAAATTGTGGTTATGACAATATTAATTCATACAATCTAAAAGAATTTGTGAATCGGTAAAGAAACAAGCACTTTAGAAACGCGACTACGTACCCACTCTGTGTACGAAGAGTTTAGATTTTGCGGGAAAGTTGAAGTTGATCACGCAGTCCAAGTGCGGTATGTCTATTCCTCTGGCGGCAATGTCTGTCACTATGAGAACTCTTGCTTTGCCGTTTTGAAACTTGGCGGCATTTATTTTGCGCGCTGCGGGATCCAAATTCGAGTAGATAAAAGTATTCGAGATATCTGCCTTATCCAATATCTGCGCGCACAAATAACTTAGTTCGTGCAACTTATTCGATTTTAAATTAATAATTTGAAAGTAATACAAATTTATATTACTTGATGAATATACTCCACATGATGCATAGTCTCGGCGAATATAATTACTTGCGCCTCAGGTTTGATAATTCTCTTCAGTAAGCACAAAAGTACCGCCAATTTTTCCTCAGGACGACATGTGATGAACGACAATGTCAATCCCTCGGGTAATTTACTCTCAACGTCCAATCGAATCAAAACTGGATCGCTCAGACCAGCTTTTGCAAAGTCTACCAAGATTTTTGGCAGAGTGGCGGAGATTAACAACGTTTGACGTGATTCCGGTAATCTGTTCACAATCTCCTGTATCTGTTCTCCAAAGCCCATCTCGAACAATCTATACAGTTACCTCAATTTAACTCTGACAAACTTTTCCTTGCTCTCAAATAAAATGGTCTTGAATATTTCTGATGTTGTTACCTGTCAGCTTCGTCGAAGACGACATATTCCACATTCGTCAGTTGCAAATCCATTTCCACACATATGTGCAAAAATCTACCTGGAGTAGCTACAATGATATCAGGATTTCCGTGAATCACACTGAACTGATTGTCCATGCTGTCACCACCTAGTACCACTGCAGCTTTCAATCCTGTGAATCGCCCCAACTCCCTTATGAACTTCAACGTTTGCAACGCCAATTCACGCGTAGGTGAGAGTATCAAAGCGCGCGCACCAGCCGCCATTTGTCTTGCTTTGAGTTTTTCAAACAGAGGGATCAGAAAGCAAGCAGTCTTTCCACTCCCTGTTCTAGCCATTGCTACCACATCTCTTCCCTCAAGAGCTAACGGTATAGTCTGTTGAATAATAAAATACGAGGACATATAATTTCCATGAGCAATTTAGTTAATGTTCTTCATATTTTGGCAAAACGTTATACTTTTCGTTGTATAGGTGTTGGTATCTTGTATCCTTTTTTGAGGATTCCTTTCAGCACTGGAAAACTCAGAGCCATAGACTGAAATCCTCCAGATTTCTTCGAAGTCTTCGGCTTCTTGATATTGGCGATCGCGTTATCATCGTTATCGCTAACCTCGTTCATGTCGGGAAACCCGACAAGATTCTCGCCTTTCATCGTGACAAAACTAAAAACTTAACAAATGTAAACTACAGTTAATAAAAACCAATCATAAATAAATATATAATAGTGTGTTAGTTCAGTAGTTTATCTTGTATATACACATAAACATCTAAATATTATAAAAAGAATGAATAAAGTTGATAAAACTTAAAATACATATTTATTACAACATAAGAAATGATAAAGTACACAAATTTTTAATAACAGTTTTGAGATTCTTACTGAAATATCAATCCTGCCAAAAGAAATTGTCAAGAATCAAGGAAATACGATTTTATCATAACCTCAAATCTATTGTCACACGTAGAATTGCTGCAATATTGGCTCAGCGGACCGGTTCACATGTAGAACACGACAATAGGTTGGTTTGGTGCAAAAATGGGTGCGTTCAGACAATTCAACAGTTGCACAACGGTTGAGAGATATTGGGTGCGTTCAGACAACTCAACGGTTGAGAGATCATCACTTATGATAGGACTATTCTTCAAAATCTGCAGCGGTTCCAAAAGTATGATCCAATCAGAAGTGATTATCTCTCAACCGTTGTGCAACTGTTGAGTTGTCTGAACGCACCCATTCACTTCTGATTGGATCATACTTTTGAACCGAAACAGATTTTGAAGAATAGTCCTATCATAAGTGATGATCTCTCAACCGTTGAGTTGTCTGAACGCACCCAATGGCTCAGGTTCAAATTCATAGTCGTTTCTCAAATCTTAGGCTGGATCCTCATACAGACACCGGCGCTTTGACACCGAGCGTTGATTGGTGAAAAGCGGGTAGTGGGAGTAAACGGCGCTAAAGCACCGGAGCTGTCATGAGGATTGATAGAAATAACAAAAGTTTTAAAGAGTTTATATTTAAAAATAAAGGTAGGAACAGCGGAATCTAACATACAAAACTACACATGTATCAATGCAGATCAGAAAATCGAAATAAGCAATAGCGATAAAATTTCCGACGCGAGTTGGAATTCTGTGTTAAAAACTGTGTTATTTCTATCGCTATCGCTATTCCTTCCATTGTGCAAGAGGCTTTAACGTTCTTGTGGATTAGGCATGATATAATAAACAAGCATAAATTACTAAATGAGACAAGAGGGGGTAATGAAAATATGTACCGGCAAGAAGCAGCAAAGGTGGGAGTTACACATGCGAATGTCAGTTCACGTGGGGACTCATGGAAAGAAACTGAAAAATAAATAGACACGTAGACTATCGTGGATAGTCCAGGATAGTCTGTTCCGTTGTTGCTTCAGTAACCTTTAAAGTCGCCACTTTATCGTTCTCTCTCAGTATTGAGCCAACGTTTACTTCGACACGTACGACGTTTCCACAATTCCATTAGCTCTTCAGAGCTCTTGGACAGTTCATTGTTTAGTTGTAAATTGTGACTAACATTAAGTCACATTACTTTAAGTCTAAAGTTCTGACTAAGAAAAGTAATTTTCTTTATTTTGTCGTGTGTGTTATTTAATATTTTATTGGTGGCTACGGATTGATCTAGTGACCACACACAGAAACATGACAACTGCAGAGAACACCAAGCCTTTTTACTTCTCTCTTAATGGCAATCCTGAAGAAGATGAGGTAAATCTGTTAGTTGTTAATTGTTGTTGACTTGTTTTAAATACGGTGCAGAAGTAACTATGTGATAAAATAAATAGTAACAGCAAAAATAGATATGTGTTCTTTCTTCTGACAGTAGAGCTTATGTATGCTAACTTAAATGTATATTATCTTTTTCAGAAATTGTTGGAACCAATCAGATATATTCTTCAAATCCCTGGTAAACAGATAAGAGCAAAATTAGCCAAAGCCTTCAATTACTGGCTAAAAATATCAGAAACCAAACTTCAAACTATTGATGAGATAATAAACATGCTCCACAATTCGAGCCTCGTGTAAGTTTTATTTTTTCTTGTTTTGGCAATTAGAATTCTTTGGTTTCAACACTTTCCTTAGCTAATTACATGTCTCTCTAATCATTATAATGCATGTTTATTTATTCTGAATTGACATGCATATATAGTTCAGTGTTGTTTAGATCTTTAAATATATAGAATTATTAAGTTAATAAATTCAATTTTAATATATATATTCTATTTTAAACAAATTTATCGTATATATATTTTATCATATAATTTTATATACTGCAGTCAAAGAATGCGTTATCAACACTGTTACATCATTCTATCTTTGTTTTATATCTAGTGATAAAAATAGAGTGACGAAACAAACAGATAACGCGGTCCCCAAACGCAGCTCTGTGTAGAATCTTTTAAATTGGTGAATCTTTTCATATGCTATAACTCTTCAATCTAAGAACCAAGTTTTACTAAATATGAGTCCGAAAACACTTATCAGCGTATGTTCAGATTGACATAGAGAGATGTTAGACGAAAGTCTGTTAACCAGTTTTTTTATGCCAATGTTTGTTTACCGAAAGCCAATTTTAGAGCACCGTAACGAATATATCGGCTCTGTTTTAAGTTGGTCAGTGAAAATAAGGCGTAAAAATAAATCGTTTTTTTTTCTTATTCTGTTACTTTAAACATAATGATGAAACAGAGTACTGTCTTAAGTGAGAGATTGTTTTGTCGTAAGTGAATAAATAAATAAATTCCAATTCTTTTGTAAGTCAGAATTTCTATGAGCATTACTCTCGTATTGAATTATCACATTTGAAATCGAAAATGTCAAATCTGTTGAAAGAAACAATCTTTTGTGATACTTTTAGAATACGTTCCCGAAAAATTTGGTAATTTACAGATATATACGTATCTGTTGAGAACAACAGAACATGTATCTATAAAATGAAATGTCAAGAATATGAGCTTTAAAACGTCTTAATATCTTTTGATAAATCAGTATATATGTTAATTATCAACGTTAACGTTACTCTAATGTTATTGTAATATAACGTGATCATTTGTGTCGCAATTCTCTATTATAAATTATAATGAGTTGACTTGTACGTGTACATATACACGAGTGTGCTATTTTTACTATGTTATGTCACATATTTATCATATTATTCATGAACTGTTAATAAAAATCACTTGAGCATGTTGTATACCATAAATACGTAATCAGTTTCTGAATTTTTTCAAAGACGAGAAACTTTGTAAAAACAAAAAGATTCTACTTTTTATATTTGTTTAATCATGCGGATTTTACTTTTCTGCGCTTGTACGTATCCCACCAGTTATGTATCACTCTGCATAATGAAACTGAATTTATATCAGTTCATTTTGCGGATATTGCGAATTTTTATGACGCAGATATGTATATGTTTAGAATTGACGATATTCAGGATAATTCCATTTTAAGAAGAAGCATACCCGTTGCTCATTCCGTTTACGGAATCCCTGGCGCGATCAGTGCCGCAAATTACGTATTATGTATTGCCTTAGAAAGAGTTGTTAATTTACAACATCCTGCGGTGAGTATTAACGGGCATATAATGTAGTTTTACTATCAGTTAGTCTTTAATTTTGAGGAGCTTGTTTGTGTTTTGTTTTTTATCAGGCAATAATAGTGTATTCGGAACAATTGTTGGAACTCCACAGAGGACAGGGAATGGACATTTTTTGGAGAGATAATCTCACCTGTCCAACTGAGGAAGAATATAAGATTATGATAAGAAGAAGTAAATTTTTTAACCTTTCTCTATATATTTTTCTCTTATATATATTTTTTCTTTTATATTTCTTGTATATATTTAATTATACTTATTGTATAAAAAGAAAAGGCATTACAGTCGTTAACTCTTACAGAAACCGGTGGTCTCTTTAATTTGGCAATACAATTAATGAAACTCTTCTCAACCTGCGATAAAGACTTTTCGTTGCTAATAGGTACTTTGGGATTGTATTTTCAAATACGCGACGATTATTGCAACTTGTGTCACGGTGAGGTAAGTAACAATTGTTGAAAATGTTTCAAGTAATTTTCAGATAAGGTGTTTACCGAGATGTATATTAATAAAATTTATCATTTTATTCAAAGAACAGTAGTGACGTAGTATTGAACAATGATTTAATGCTGTTTATTCCGATATTATACGTGCGTCAGTAAACGCATACTTGTGATTCATAAATGTATCGTAAAAACTAATGCTGACATTTTAACTGTTAAGCGTCTCTTATTATTTTTCTTATAGCATGTTTGTCAATTCAAATGACTTTATTTTATTAATTAATCGCGATTTATTTTTATTTTTATTTTTTTGTTAAAGGAACGTAAAAAACGTCCTTTACTTCTGTCTGCGTTCTTGTTGAATATTATACTGAGATAAGTTATTACAAAAATCTGACCGATAAGAGCCGAATGAAATGACTCATGTTACGACTTGTGTTACAAAGTTTATCACGCGTTTCAACACTTTCCTTATGTTTACGTTTAATAAAATTTTATTACTTCTGTTGACATAAGCATGATTATGCTATACCTATTGTTCTAATCTTTTAAATAATATTTTTCTGACCTTGTGATAAGTAAAAGATACTGTTTTATTTTACAAAGAATGATTAATAATTAATAGGAATTTATGAATGATTAATGATTTCCAATTTATCGCAAAAAAAAAAAAAACAATTTTGCTGATATTTTGTGTAAGTTTCTTTACATTCTTTGTTACCTCGGGTTTGTCAATTCAAATGACTTTGCGTTAATAATCAAGGCCTTTTTTTAAAGAAACGTAAAGAAACGTCTTTCTATTTTTTATCTGTTGTGTTTTTGTTGCAGTATACTGAAAATAAGAGTTATTGCGAAGATCTTACCGAAGGAAAATTCAGCTTTCCGATTATTCACGCAATTAAATCTAATCCCAACGATAGACAAATAATAAGTATCCTTTTGACAAGCGGCGATTTAAAGTAATTAACAATAGTTTAACAAATAATTTATCGAGCAACTATATTCACGTTCTCGTACACGTAAAACTTTCGTTGTTATTTTTAACTTTTACAATTTTATTTTTATATCAAAAGTAGACTCTTGATATAAATCTCTGTAAAAATTAAAAATATTGATTTTACAATCAAGTGATACGCAAAAGTTTTTTTTACACTTCTTTTTTTTCTGTCTTCTTGCACACAACTTTTTCGTAACTTTCCTTAATTATTCAACGAAGATATTTTAAGACAACGAACAAAGGACATTGAAGTCAAACGTTACTGCGTTAAATTACTAGAGAAATTCGGCTCTTTTAAATATACTGAAGAAGTGCTTTTAGATTTGGACGCAAAAGCGAGGGCAGAGATCGAGCGTCTGGGAGGAAATCCGCTTTTGGTGAAAATACTAGACGAGCTCAAAAACTGGGATACCAAAGAAGTGCCTAAGAATCCCCTGACTGGAACATTTTGAATCCAAAGATACGCTATGTTTATATATATAAATATAATAATATATAATATATATATATATATGTATATATATATAGTACACAAAACCTCAAAAATATTAGAGAAATGCAAACTTGAAAGTGATAAACGGTGTCTGTTCTTGTTATTGGTGAAGGCAACCAGTCAACAAGTAACAAGAGAAGTCCTTTCTCTTCTTCTTGATAAAACTTCAACTTGAACTAAAAAAAAAAAGAAACAAAATAAATTAAACATATGTATATAACATACATATATTTTGGTGAAAGATACGCAATGAATAGGATATTTATTAGTACTCTATAACATTTGTACACAATAGTTTATCATACAATAATTTAATGAATACAATATATCGCTGTATATTTGAGATTTATTTTGTACATTAATACACATTGTACATTTGTACCTTTTCTCTGTTACATTCCGAAATACATGATGCGTCAAGATTATCTGCAACTAATGGATATTTACCCTAAGAAAAATATTCCTGTGCACATGTTTGCTCCTTTCGACAAGTGCACGAGTGATCGAGTTTCTCTCATTGTTACATACACACACATACTCACACACACGATTATCAATGATCAGCGATCTCTTACAAATTCGAAAATCGCTCTTACCTCTCGTATCTTTCGCTACGATTCTCTTTGTTCCTCCGTACCGAGTAAAAGGCGTAATTACTTTAATCTCACACGTTTTTCCTTCTTTTGTTTTCATGTTCGTCCTTTATCACATGCGGGATTATCGACATCCGATCGGACACTCTCCCTAACACAAAACAAGATCGAGTCGGAGATTCTCCCGGTCCGTCATCAAAAACTAAGACAACGTGGCGATTTGACACGTCTTCTGTTCAAATTCGCTGTCCTCGTCGGATTCGCTGGCCCACGAGGGCCGCTGCTCGTGTCATATCTCGCCGTCGCTATCTCCCGGACAACGACCTGATCCCGACACGTTGTCGAAGACCTCCGTCACCTGATAAAAAAAACCCAGATAAACTGATTGACAGAATCTAAAAATACACATAAAAGACATTTATGAATAATAATCATATGGGAATGAAAAAACCGCAATAAATTGAAGATTAAAATACGCCAGAGCGGTTGCCTCAGAAATATATTCACCAAAACCTCCTCGAAGCGATCGTAATTCTCCGGTCTGGAGTTCAAGAGGCTCTCGCCGACCGAGTCTGCGTTGGCTCTTGATTGACAGGACTCTCGCCACTCTAGCGTGCTCGATACAATATGCAGCACGGACAGTACCGCCAACATGCCGGCTGTGAACGTGCATGTGTGTGTAGAAGAGTTCAGAGAGAGAAAAAAAAAGAAGAACAAAGTTTTATGAAGAAGAAGTGCGCACTCTCACCCGCAACATAGGACAACCAGAGTCTGTTGGGTTCCCACGCTAGGATGCAGGACAACGGTAGGTAGAACAACGCTCTCCGCCAGCCCCAAGTGGCAATCAAGGTGTTGGACCAACAACGTAGACAAAGAGACTCCTCGTTCCTGGAAAAAAAAAAAAAAAAAAAAACAACGTCTCTTCCTCTCGTCTGTACGCGTAATAGAAAATTGCAAAAATTACTGCGTGAAATTAATTCCAAAATATAAAAGCGTAACACTAACGTCCAAATTAGACCATTACGCACGCCGGCACGTGGATAACGCAATTTTCACGATGTGAAAATTTCGCGCGCGAAAATTAGATCGACAAGGAGATTATCACGAGGCAAGAATTTGCCCGAGCCCTGAAATTATCAGAGAAATTTCCGCGGAGGTAGACGATATAATTACTGATCAATCCGGAATTACTGACTTACGAAATTGGTAGCCGTGATTGACATCAATTTGCTTGATCGGATCTCGCAGGACAATTAATTCACCAGTGAACGAGAACGCGCGGACGATACAAGAGTGAAAATTTGCGATAGGTTTTAAATTAAAAAAAAGAAAAAAAAGAACGTCTTTTATCAAATAAGTAATTAAGAAAAAAATTTCGTTACTCGATTTTAATTACGCGTTGAATTTGATTGTTACAAAGTGTTCCCAACAGATCTGACGCGGACTTTGCCGTGCGACAAACAATAAAAAAACAAAAAAAAAAGAGGGATTGCTCTCGCGCGGGAAATTCGCTTTCCCGCGACGTTACATTATCTCTTGCATAGATCTCGGATAATCGTTCGGACCTGCAGAGTTCTCTAACGTTCTATATATAATACCGTCGTCAAGGAGATAAACTTTCACGAGTAGCACAAAGTCGATTCCGGATGGATCATTAAATTAAGTTTCTCGATAAAACTCGTCGAGATTTTTGCAAGAACTTCTTTTACATCCCTCCCCTCGTGAAGTACGTAGCGACATCGTATATATCCATATCGGTCAACTCCCCCGAGCTGATCGATATGAGCAATTTGTAATCAGATTGTTACACACAGAAAACTGATGATGACAAGTAAATATATCACTCGTATTAAGTATGCAATACTTGTATCAAATACATGTATAAGAAGTTTATATAAACCGCAAATGATGTCATTCAATATGATTTATTTACGAAGTTTTATAATATTCTTGAAAAGAAAATGTATTCTTCCTTTTGAGTGCGCGATAATAAACTTTTTAAAAATTTGTAATTAGTAGATTGCAATACTATATTATCACAAAACATATTCTTTGCTGAAGTTAATTATTGCTTAAAAGAAGGAAATTATTATACCAAGCAATTATTTTTCTTAGTAATACAATATTTTTCTGTGTGTAGATAAAAAAAAAGATCAAGTCGAGTGTCTATACGCCCTGTAATCAAGATCAAGTTTTATTTAAATTATATAATCGGTATTGATACCGAGAAAATTTGCATTTTAAATAAAACTATAGCTCATTTAAAAAAAAAATTGGTTATTGAAAGAATGGCGATTTAATATAAATATTGAAAGAATTAATTTTTCAGAATAGCAAGAAAATCAGTTAGCAACTAAAGTCGTTCTTACAAAATGCCATTAACCGCGTGTGTGTTTATGTGGTTTCCTAATAAATTGTTAATCACTACGTACTTTATAAAATTCGAACATACAAAGGAATTGATTTTTGATTTATAACACGGGGAAAAAAATTGCTACAATAGCAAGGAATTAGTTGTATACGGTCAGCAAGAGAAGTTTGCCGAGTCTATTGAAGGTTTTGTTTCGTTAACAAAACGTTTTGTTGATAAAACAATTCAATAGACTCGGCAAATTTTTGCTGATAGTCGCATAATAGCAAAACTTTTGCTTCGTGTAGTTTTTTAAGTTTTTGATTGAATTTCAAAGAGAAAGATAGACGCGCGAGCGCACAAGATTATGTTGTTCATTAACTGTAAAATAAGTTTAGGAAGATAGACGCGCGACATTTGTCTGGCTTAAGGTGACCAACGCAATGAAAATGCGTTTTGTAAACGTTACACAGTTTGCTGGTGTGTGTGTGCGTGTATGTGTATATAATTCTCTACCGTGCTCTATTCGTTCGGAAACGCGGGGAAAACTAGGACGAACTTCCGACCTGGTTGGTAATTGCCGCGGCTGGCTTTACACCGCGCTTCTTTTCCGCGTTATCCTGCGGCGGTGGTTTCAATTCAACAATAGTTCCCCGGAGTCCTTCTAACCCCTTGCTCTCGTCCGGGTTATCGTTTTCGGTGTACATACGAACCAATTCCAGACAATTTGCAAAGTCGCGCCGTTTATTTGTGTTACATTTGCATGCCACAGAAGAATATACAACAGAACTTGTTTGATCTCTTATGTTTTTTATAAATACAGTTTTATTTACTTAATTTTCTTTTATAGATTAAAAATGATCTAAAAACATTATGTATTGTGTTAATTATTATTATTGTTATTGTTAAAAATTATAAAATTAAAAAAAAAATTATCCAATTAAATTATTTTAAATCAATTTTATGTTATCTAAGTAAATAAGAGGAAATAGAGTTTTGATACAATTTTCCCGAAAACATCCGGCGGATTAAAGATTAAGCTTAACAAAATATTACGTTTACAGACGTACCTAGTGCAGAGATGGACGAACAACGTGATCGCCCAGGTTACTTCAAGAAAGAGGATCACGCCCGACGCCGCCCTGCAATTAAAAGTGCATAGCTCGAATCAAGAAAGATCCGATGTGACGTAAAGATTTTGCGCACCACATCGATAGAGGAGATGGTTTGAAAAATTTATCTCGTTGATAAAACAGCATCTCTCTGTTTCTCGGATGTGGGAGAAATGGGAGCAGACACCATCGAGAATTTATTGTTCACGCGAAAAGGAGCAACGTGTCTACGCGCAGCCACACTTTTCGCAGGCACACGCACGCAAGTAAGAATATATAAATAATAAACGCGACTTTTTGTTATGCAAATATCTTTATCACTATTGCCATGAATATTGCTGAGAAAGAGGAAACCTCGATTTGAATGTATTGCGCGTGTCACGTTCGATAGGGAGAAGGTGATTCGCGGCGCGTGTTCGCGCGAAGGGAATAAGAGGAAAAAAATCACATAAAGTCTCTCACGCTCGCGATCGCAGACATCAAATGCGCAAAGACGCCGACGTAAGGTCGTGCGAACAAAATATAAAAAACGGTTTTCTCAATTTTCCCGTCCCACGAATAACGACGCAGCATGCCTGCGAAGAACTGCAGCGTTGCCAAAGACATTTCTCTTTTATTTATTTTTTTTTTTTTTTTGCAGCGCGATATGCGACATTCAAGTTCGTTGCGCATAGAAAATGAGGAAAAATGTCTAACTAAGAGCTATATCGTTTTCGGTCTTCAGTGACAAAAGTCATTTTACATCGAGCGCGATAACGCGTTATCACCGTGTAATTTAAATTGAAAATTAAAACGCAAGTAGCGACAACTGTATCGGCCCCATTTTTCACGCGGTAATATCAAACGAGAATTCCCGGAAGAATAAAAATAAAAATAAAAAAAAATACGTTAATAACGCTTTCCGCGCGCATAAAATTACGTTTTCTAATTACTGTCGCGCGACTTTTATCGTTTTAATTCCGCACGTCGTTTAAGTTCTTTCGAAAGTTTCCGAGAAAATCAAAACTTGCAAGTTTCAGTCTGTGGTGAATTTCGCGAGAGATATTCCTCCCGGCGTACGTGAAATAATATTCAAACTCCACGTGTGGCCCGTGGCGAAAGATTATTAAACGTTCGGGGATAAGAAAGGAAAAAAAAAATCATCAACTTTATCTCGTCTCTTCCGCGGCCGGAGTAAATACTTCGCCTTGAAAACGTAATCTCGTTCCAGAATCGCGCTTCCGTTCCTGACCGTCGATGATCTAATCAGTCCTGAATTAGATCTCTCTCGAGGATCGAATCGCAGCGAATTGCCCGATGAGCAAAAACCAATTTGCAAGATTTTCGATCATTTTTTTCTTTCTTTTTTTTAAATTACGCGAATGCTTAATCAAACGAAAGCGAGCGGTTTTATTCGAACGCAATCCGATAGATCTCAAGATTGTTTACTTTTTTTGAGAAGAATTCAACGAAAAATGATGTCGCATATAATCGGTCTGCGATGCGCAAACGAAGTTTGTCCTCGGCAAACGAAAACGGCGGCGGTCGTCTTGCAAGAAATACGAGTAGGTGCATTAAGAACAATGGACTGTTTAAGTTCTCCTTTTGCGCGATATCAAACTCTCTTTTGTGATACCGCGAGTTTGCGCGCGCGGAGAGAGAAAATTCGGAATCGAAATCAAGCTCGGGAAAACCGAGAGATTGAATTTTGCACGCGAAATTATTTTTCCCCTCAAAGAGTCGATTCACCCACTTCTACTTCATCGACAGCAAGTCTCTCTGTTTTTTTTTTCTTTTTTTTTTTGCGCAATGTCATTGCGAGATCGCGATCGGAGGCTGATAATGCGTGAATTGAATTACGGTATACGCATGTTGAATTATCCTCACGTAACGTAAAACCCCATGACGTGCTGATGGTACGCCACATCCGCGCCGACGCCGCACACAACTGCAACAGACAGAAAAGAGGATCAAAAGGATTATAATTCTACTCTCGTCTGGTCTCGTCGCGCTTCCGATGTATTTCCGCAAACGTTTCGAAATCTTTCGATATATCGTATTTTACATCGCAAACAGTGATTCGCACTGTTTGCAAAACCGAAATACGCACACGGTAAAATTTCACGTTTCAAAAACCTAAAACAAATTTTTGAATTACATTTTCTAGTCAATCATTCGATCGCGTGTTAGTTTTTCTTTTTTTTTTCCTTGAACATTATAACAATTGCGATTGTCCCGATTGTTTGTAAAATCTCTTTTTAAATTTTATCCCTTAATTTTATTCGGAACTTTTATTTGCTTTCGTACGTCAAATTGTCGTTTCGAAACATGTTTCCGTGATGTTCCACCTCTGTTTTTATATCCATCTCTATATTTTTCCGTGTATTAATGTGAATGACATTAATATGGAAAATTAAAAGCATGCATCAGGATTTAGCATCTTTTGCATCAGGGATTATTTAAACTAACATTAGCTTGTGTTTTTCTCGAAAGTATATAACAGCTGTAAAAGTAGTTAATGTTTTATTATTATTTAAAATATTTTTCATAGTAGTTACGTACTAATAGATTTTACTGATATCTGGTTTTCATCCCGAATTTAATTAATCATTAGTGATAAAAGTTGTAGGACGAAATAGTCGAAGAGTAAGATGGTAATTTTATTGTCATTGATGTCGTTAACGCTGTATGCAACGGTGGAAAAGCAACTAGAACGGAATTGTAAAGCGGTAAAAAGAACAGACGAACAAACAGTCGCAATATTTGAGACAATTAACAGCATAAACGGATAGAAATATAACTTGACATTCACAAACTTGTTTGTACTACATATTTTATTTTTGCAATAATAAACTATGCAGAAATGCAATAGCTAGTTTCCCCGAGTGTTAACGCTCTTTTCTCTCTTTTTCTCCTTTTGTTCGCTCATGAAAAGTGTCCCGAAATTAACAATGGAAATTGTGATTGACTTACTTTTGATTCAACGTGGTGGTAGCATCGAATCTTTTTTAGATGTTACACTCGCGGAGAGAAACGGAAATTCTAATAACGAAATTAAAATACTTGGCACAGCATAAATTCCAGGACATATGCATGCCGCGCCACTTTAATTATCTCATCTGACATTCCGAACTTGCCGCGCGCTTTCGGAATTTCTTTTGACACACACCGTTCGTTGCGATACTTTTCGTACATCTGTTTGGCGCGGAACCGAACAAAGTTGTCTCATATCCGCGATGTAACACGCGGATATGAAGAACTTGCCAGACACACGTGTAAGAACATCTGCGAATATCGACGGAGGAGAGATTTGGAAGGAAGAGAGAGGGAAACACACGCGCGCAACGAAATTATTCCATTGTGCGCACACTTTTCAAAAAATTGCGCACGTATCGCTCACGCAAATGAATCGATTTGCCTGACGGGAAATCAATACGGGGGAGCTTTGAATGTCGAATGGGAGTTTTTTTTTTTTGCGAAATATCGGTTCAATTTGAACGCTCGCTGCGGACAAGAGAACAAAACCGATCATCATCTCGAGTCGAGGTAATTGCCCTCAGGAGAACGCGCGCGCGCGCACGTTGCACAAGGGATGATCGAAATATGCATATCGGATATGATATCGCGCGAATATAACGCGGAACTTCTCATGCCTGTTATACAACGCGAGCAAAACTAATTAAAAAGAAAAAAAATTGCCTTGTCGAAAATTGCAATCGAAAAAGAATTAATAAAATCGGCGCGGATCCGATAGGGATTTGATATCCTTCGCTTAAAAGTTTTACATCGATTTTACATCGTGGATTTGACTGTTTTTTTTTTTTTTTCAAGCCAATATCGATGCAGAATTTTTTTTCAGACGTACACGAGACGCGGTCCGGAATCGCATTTGAAATAAATTTCCAACGCGCGGTCGACAGAAGACGAAAGAAGAGGACCGTTCAAAGAGAAATTAAGTCCGTTGAAAGATACTAAATGCGGAGCGGACTCGGGATCAAAGGGAGCTCTCGAAAATGAAATAATTGACACATGAGAAAATAATTACGCGAGCCATTAGGGAACTTGCGTTTCTCTGTCGCGACGCGTCGAAAATGCAATTAACAACAACGATATTAAGAAAACTCATCGCGACACTCGTGCTCGAGCGCTTTCAGAACACATTTAAAACAAACGAACACAGATGTTTCGGTCGCGCAATTTCAGAAATCGCACAATTGGAAAATAAAACGCTCAAACGTTGAGAACTTTGTTCCAACAGAGAGACAGTCTGATTTATTTAAAGCGGGAAAATTTAGTCCGAATGAAAAAAAAAATCCACACGATGCGATTTTTTCTTGTCACGATTGAGAACTGGCTGGGACGAAACCTCAAAGGAGCGAAGTTTCGCAATTATCGCCTCTCGTTTATAAACGCAAATGATTCACAGACCCCTGCACGTTTCGACAAGGAACTTAATGACGTGACAATATGTGTGTGTGCGTGTGTGTGTTTGCGGATTGGACGAATTTAGGAAAATTCGCCAAGGCGATGTATTATTCAGAGAACGAGTGTAACGCAAGTTTAATAAAGGGAAAACTCCCTTCCTCTTGACCGTGTCGGCGCGCAGCTGGGAATATCCGGCGCTGTCTCGCTGGGAAGAAAATATTTGCGAGAAATTTCACACTTCTTTATCCGAGCTCATGCCACGGGCGTCGCTACGTTCTTTTTTTTATGTATTTATGAGGTAGCGACCGAAGAAAAGTGAGGAGCTCGCCGCCATAAGCGCGCGCGCTGACGACTCTTATCACCGCGTGGTGCACACTCGTGTACATTTCCGCGGAAGATGGTGCGAAAAAAACAAAAAGAAAAAACACAAGAGACAAACGGTCGGAGAGAGAAACGTCAATCTGTCATGCGATTTGAAATTTGTTTTCAATTTAACGACAGAGCGAATTTAATTACTCTCGCTTTTGATTTCTATTTGAACGGATTTTGCGAGCGAGGAAAAAAAACTCAACAACGAAATAAATGTCGGAAAAATCTGGCGCGCCTGCATTTCCGGACGTCCGTCCGTCCGGAAGCTCGTCCGGGGACGAGGATTCCGCACATAGATCCCTCAACCAGCGTGTCCTCCCCAGCAGGACATTGTCGTACGAAGGTTTTGCGGCTGGCACATGAATTGACCACCTGCGGTCGCGCCTGGGTTCACGTCGCGGGTGAATTTCCGAAGCTGCATTGTCCTCTGAGATGTTCACCGGGGGATATCCATTATCTTCCCACCGACAAGAGAAGATCGCGGTCATTTTCTCGAAAATTGAATCCTTACACAGAATTCGCGCGTTCCAAGCGCTCGTGAAATTTATATATATATATATATATGTATATATGTATATACGTTACACATATCGAACATTAATTTTATCGGAAGCTTGATTGTCATTTAATTAAAACCTGAGATGAAGAAAACGATGAAAATTTGACGAACGAGAGAGGAGGCGAATTTCCACGGAAATTAGACGGGGTGGAAAATCGCGTGAGACGGTGTTTTCGCGATTCTCTCGATAGATGAACGAGCAGTCCGATCGATAGTCGTCTCCTTCATTTCTTCTTAATTTTAATCCCATTGTGGTGTTTTACAATTCAAGTTACGTGCGGTGTTTGTTTTTTAAATCTTTTATTCTTCAACGCGCGATTCAACGCGGCAATATTCTCGACACACAAATTTTCACTAATTGACTATCGGTCGATTTGTTCAACGTTAGAATTTTGAAAGTTTTTAGAAATAAATATTTTGATACAAACACATCCGAAGATCGAAACGTTTGTTATCGTCACACGTAAAAGTCTCGCAACACGTAATCAACCGTGCTTACGCTTCCGTTCACGATTCATCTAATCTCTTCTCACGTCGCAAGAACGAAAACAGACAAATTCTTATTTCAGGATCGCGACAATTCCCGTTTCGCGTATTTCGCTTCTGTTTCGTCTCTCTGCAACGTCTCTCCTCCGTGTGTGTCGTTCGCGAGATCTTTTGCAAATTCGGAGTTCGGTTAGAGACGCGCGATACACCGAGACGATGCATCTCGGCAACGCAATTAGCCGTAGACACCACTCAAGAGGGCGTATTCTCGTGAAGTGAGGAAAGCGTGCGATAATTAAGACGCTCGGCTGAACATAACTAGACCAGCGTCAAAAAGTGTTGCCTGTCGTCGTCGACTGACGTTGCTTTGATATCAAGTTTTTTACGTGAACACAGCGTGTGTGTTCAAAGGAAAAAAAAACAAAAAAAAAAAAACATTTACCCCCTCTTGGGAATTCGAAGTAGTTCTCGCGAGACGAAGGATGAGACTTCGTAAATTTTAAGCAAAACTTGAAGCGCCGAAACAGATGTGACAAGAAAGTTCGCTCTTATTTTTTCACTCAATTAATTTCGAGAAGAAAAGATCTCATTAAGAGACTCAATTAATTTCGAGCTTTCTGACTGACTTGATTAATATCAAGCGTTAGCTCAAACGAGGAAATTTTTAGTTATCGAAATGTGTTGGAAACCGTTTCTCCCACGCTAAAAATCTCGTGGATGTTTTTCACTGCGAGAGAAAAAGAGAGAAATAGAGAGAAAGAAAAAGTGTGTGCGGAATAATGGTCGAAATTAATTTAATTCGCGACAATCGAAGAGAATCCTTCTCGCTCAAGTCTTTCCGAGAGGATCGCAATGCGTAGAATGAAATGCCGGCGTGTCGCGTTTCGTTGGACACGACGGAGAGAAAACGCGCGCGCGCGATGGAAATTGAGTTTCGCCGAGTTTTCCATTGCGACAATTCGATTTGTCCCGCGTCGTGACGAGGAGCATCAAAAAACTTTCTCGCTCCAAGAAAAAGAGAAGGAAAAACCCTCGTCGTCGTTTCGAAATCGCGCGATCGCGAAAGAGAAGCAAGCGAGAAAATTGGGCGAAATAACTTTCGCGAAAAT